TCTTCAATTGCAAATCATCAACGGATTGCGACCTGAAGTACCTAAAGGTGCACCGCAATTTTACGTTGACCTCATGACGAGTTGCTGGGATGATGATCCATGCAAACGACCAAGCGCAAAGGATTTATATGATAACATTAAATTCTGGTGGCTTGACGGTGAAAAATTTAGATTGCTCGACGAATTTAACAATAGCGTTAATTCCGCATCCTATTGCAATTTAAAAATTCATCCTGAAGCAATCTATAAGAGTCGATTCATATCATATGTTTATTGCCAAGAAGATGCGAGTGCAGATGAACAAGAATAGAATTCGACCAGTCTTTATATATTTACCCATCAAAAAAAAACCAAAAAAAACAAACCAATATTTAATCCGTTCACATATTTTCATCACTTTCCCTTTTAAAAAAAGACAAAAAAAGCATTGAAATCTGTCACATTATTAGCATTGAATCCTCCAATAAACAATGTAAAAATTTAGACATTCATAATCCGATATTTAAATATTTTTTTTTAAACCAACAAAGTTCAATAAACTAAACAATAATATAGAAGCTGTTGAGCATTAATAATCAAATCGAATAAATTATGTTCAGAATTCTTGATTTGTGTGTGAAAAACAAAAACTTTAGCAAAATAAATGTTCATATATTGGTGAAGGTAAGACATGCAACAGATTTTTATAAAAATACGAAAAACAACTATTTCGTTTGATTTGCTGTAGAATAATTTTTTTAAAAATTAGAAACTGTATGGTACGTAATAGCTAATCATTAATTATATTAATTAATGAAATATGCTTTATTACGTATATTTACGGTAAATAATAAATAAACAAATAATATACTGTAGTTATTACGAATTAATTACATTAAACCCAAAAAAAAATAATAGTAAACAAAATATAATTTTTGGCATAATATCAATTAATGATGTAATCGATTATCAGAAAAGTTATACAGTAAATAAAAGGAGTGATAAAATAAAAGAATGTAAAAAAATCAAGAATTGAAAATTATTTTGTAAAACTTGTTTATTGATTTATTTTAATTATATTTTTATTTTATTATATTTTTAAAATATAACTTTTAAACAAACTTTTTAAATTACAAACAAATAAACTTTTATTATTTTTTATATTCAAAAAACTTTAATATATTCAATTTATTTCTATATTTTTTGAATTTATTTACAAATTATTAAATTTAAAATCATTTACAAATCAAAGAAAAAATTAATGAAACTTCTAAAAATTAAATATCTAACTAATAAAATAATTGTAATTTAATTGTAATTTAAACAATAAGTTGTTATTATTAAATTAATAATCTTTAAAATAAGATATAAATTAATTATAAAAAGCTAATTATATAAAATAATATCAAATAAGTATAATATATTTATATAAATAATATTAAATAATTAATACTTATTAAAAACAATAAAAATTAAAAATAATCTTTACAAAAAAAAAATTATAAACAAAATTATCAATTAATATATTGTACATCAAATCTATAAAACAATTTAAAAATAATAATTCAATAAATACTAAACTATAATAAAATTGAAAATTTAAAAAATTTCAATATTGCTGAAATTGAAAAAACAATCAATTATTATAATAATGAAATAAAAAAATTTAAAGATTATTATAATGCTAAAATTAAAAAAATTAAATATAATCATAATATTGAAATTAATAATTTTATTATTGAAATTGATAAATTAAAAAATATTTATAATATTGAAATTAATAATTTAAAAAATTATTATAATAACAATATTAAAAATTTTGAATATAATTATAATATTTAAATCAATAATATTAATATTAAAAATTCAAAAATCCAAAAAAAAAATTTTGAAAAAATTTCTGAATTAGAATTAAATTAAAAAATATTTAACTATATTCAAATATTGAATTATTTTTTGAATATTTCAATAATAATATTACATATTTAATCAATTTATTATATAAATAACAATAAGTCTGTGGGTCTATAATACAGTAGTTAGTGCTTTCAGATCCAGATCACAAGATATCAATTCAATTCTTGATAAAGACAATTGAATAGAATTAATATGATATCTGATACCATGACCTGTTAAAAGTACTGTTTCTTATAAGAAGCCAATTCATATATCAATCTGATAGGCATTAAGATTGTGATATCCTGAAAAGGTGTTATAATACAATGATTATCTGGTTGGTGTCATAATGATCACTAAAAGAAAAGAGCCGTAAAAGATAACGAGGTATCCAATTTCGAGTAAGATGATTTGATGATTACTTCTCTATAGTACCTGGTATCTTTTTCTACAAGTAGTCTTAACTCTTTTGAGTTAAAAGGTTTCTTTTATAAAGTTCTATTTATCTAATAGATACTACCCCAATTTTCCCTTTCATTTTTCTTTTAAAACATCCCTGATTAGAAAATTGAATATCATTTATATATAATAATGATACTAATAGAGCATATGCACATTAGCCTTGACTTGTTTAAAAAAATAATCAATAGTAACAAGCTGATATGGTGTAAAATCTGATATAGTCTAGTGATATATAGAATAACTAATAAATAGTAATTACTTATATAAAAATATATATCTGTTAAATATCAATATCATACTAAGTCAGATCCAACTAGTTAAGTTAAAAAAATATATAAATAATAATATGATAAAAAAAATATTATATATAAATTCTAATTAATTTATTAATATATTACAACAAAATAATTATTTTACTTTGAAATCATTTTTTTATATATTTTTTAATTTATTTAAATTTCAAAATCAAATCTTACAAATATGTGAAAAACTTAAAACCAGGATAATAATATTATTTTATCATTTAGTTGGATTAAAAAATTAAAAAATTATAAATATTAAAAATTTAATTAAAAGTTTTTTATTAAAATCTGAACTTTCAATAAAAACAATTGATTTATTATCATATTTTGAATATATAATAATTATAATAAATTATATTTAAATATAATGGATTTGAAAAAAAAATTATAAAAATAATATAAATTAATATTTTCAAAACAAATTAAATAATCTTTTTATTCTTAATATTGATAATTATCACAATTGTTATCAAATTAAAATTTCTATTATAACTTTTAATGATAGAATATGTTATATGGCCACAACTCTTATTAATATTTCAATTAATATTTCAAATATATCATTTATTTTATCAAATAATATATCACTTTACAAATCTGGTTTAATAAAAATTAATTTACTTTAAAATATATTATATAATAAAATAAACAGAGAGTAGACAAAAGTTTATAAATAATTTTAAAAATTAAAAATTAAATTAAATTAATAGAAAATTTAATAAATAAAAAATATATTTAAAATCTTTAAAAACTAAACTTTTAAATAAAAAAATTTATGTAATAGTTTTTAAAAAAATTAAATTTAAAAATTTTTTTAAATTTCTTATTTAATGATTATTATATATAAAAAAAAATTATAATTTTTTTTTATCTATTGTTATATTTGATTTTCGCTCAATGATCTTCATTACCCTTGTTCAACTTTTAGCAGCATTTACCCTTGTAACATTGCCTATTCTAGAATAATCTTTGTATTACTGATCTACTATCTCCAAGCACTGTGCTTTTCGTGCTATCTGTGCTC